CCACTTTTCACCCTGGCCTGCTTGCAACAGTACCAGCTGCATGTGGCCTGGGAGATGGTAGCTGCTGGCAGCACCATGTTCCCCAGGAGGCTGAGTGCTGGGCTGCAGCCAGGCTGCAAGAGTTGGACCTCCACGCAGTGCACGTGGTCCAACCTCATCTTCCAAACTCCCCCAGAATCTCCACACGAGCTTTGTGTTCCCCAGCACATCGAATCCTCCTTAGAACTGACATCTTTCTGTAGTCAACAGAAAAGATGAAATGAAAACCACGCAGATGAAAAGTCATGTCATTTATTAATAATGTCTCTCTCTTTTTTTTCCTTCTATAAATTGGAAGGAAAAATTCTTTGGTGACACTCTCTATAAAATAATCTATCTCGGATGGTAAAACCCAGACATAAAGTTACACAGGTCAGTGAAGTAAATCAAGATCTATGGCTTTGTATTTTCTCACAGGCTCTCGCTCACACACACACTTCAGGGCTTAATTGCACTAACTCATTAATTGTCTGTAACAAATGGGGAAAACACTTCAGAAAAGACCTGTGGTGATACTACAAAAACATTGGCAACATATTAGAAAACTGTCCCAAATGTACATCGTATACAAAATAAGGTATACTTTTTCTTTTCTTTACAACTTGCCACCTAAAATAGTTGCAGTTTTCCACATCTTTCTTCCTCCCCTCAACATACCCTATACATATTTTTCTCTCAAAATAAATATACAAGGTTCATTACATGGTAACCAGGTCATCTGCATGGCCCTAATTTTAGTAATAATTACAACCAAAAGGAAAGGGATGTATTCCTATAAGAGGAGAACAGAGAACTATTGCAGAAATCAAATGGCCTTTGAGGTCTAAAAGGCAAATCATTACAAAAATAGAGTGACGGAAAGGCTAGCTTGACTTGATTTTAAACAAGGGTGAGACCCTGCTAATCTGCCGGCTTTCTTAATGGTTCCCACCCGTTTCTTTCCCAGAGGATATTACAGCCTCCCTCACCTATTTAATTGGGCAAAATCTGGGTAGCTCATCTAGGCTCTTGATATGGAACATCCTGGAACTTTATATTAGTGACAACTACAGTCAATCCCTGCTAAGTAAAAATCATGGAAATAAAATCCTTTGATTTTTGGAAAGGGGGAAAAGGGGAGATGGTTTTCAGGAGTCACCTTTATTATCAAGAATATATTGTAGGGACTTCCCTTGTGGTCCAGTGGCTAAGACTCTGCACTCCCAATGTAGGGGGCCTGGGTTAGAGCCCTGGTCAGGCAACTGGATCCCACGTGCTGCAACTAAGGTTCGCATGCCACAGCTAAAGACCCCGCATGCTGCAACTACAGATCCCACAGGCTGCAACTAAGACCCAGCATGGCCAAAAAAAAGACGATACTGTAAATAGCAGCTTTTCTAGCCACAGCTTCTGGACAGCGTTACTGAATTGACGGGTGAGATGGTGTTCTTAGGATGCTCGATCCCATTCTTTTAAAGTAGGATTGGAGTCAAGGAGTAATTGACTGTGTACTTGCTGAAGTTCTAAGACAGAAGGAGGCAAGTTCGGCACAGTCTGGTATTAATACCTATTCACTGAGAACTCAAGTCAGAACAACTATGTCCCCCTCAATCATGCCTGAGAGAATGAGGCCAGCAGTGAAAGCTTTCTTGGTTAAATCTGGCCAAGAATGACAAAGCCACCCGAAAGGTTCTTGTCCATCATCACTGCCAATGGAAACAAGGTAAAGGAATTCAGCAACTGAAGCCCTGTACTGGCTGTGCAGCAATGACCTTAACTATTAGAAGACAGGACATTTTAATTTGAGAGTTCATGGTAATAACGGGTCCTTTTTAAAACTGGAGCTCTCAGAGACCTAAGGGAACATAAGACACTTTCAGGTCTGGGAAGTTTGCCTCGGCTTTTGCATCCATAATTCAGCTGGTCCAGCAAGTCTTATTCAGATTCTAAGCTGCTGGGCTGCCTTCTCCTTACTCCCACTCTTTAAACAGGTTTGATGAATATTTCTTTACTTCTTAAATCAAGAGCTCTTTTTTCCCCCCCAATAGTATCTAGATCTATTCACATTCATTCAGCTCACCCCTGATAATTAAAGTTCAGTAACCTTTATGAAAGGCTACCAGCATAATATCCCTTCAAGTACCCAGGTTTCCAGAATCGTTAAAGTAAAGGCTAACATAGCCTACTATAAATGAAAAACAAAAATCACTCCAAAAGAAAAATTGAAGGAAGCAATTGAATTGATCCTTCTTTGAGCACCATCTGGAACAAGAAAAAATTAATGTGTAATGCACATAAAATTCCACCTAGCAGATATTCCACTTCTTCTGAAGCATCCTCTTGCAAAGTGTGCCAATATGGTATGTCCAGGTAGGCCTACCTAGCTAGGTTACCTTTTGTGACATGACTACAATGATTATTTCATGGATTTTTCTCTACAGCCTCAATTTTGGGTCATTTTGTTGTTTTCAACAAAGGTGATATGGTTCATGTATATGTAAACTTGATTTGTATAAGCCGTTTTGCATGAACACCTAAGTCAGCTTTAAAAAAATTATTTTTAAGATCATACATCCTAATGTGGAGCTGGAAAAAGATATTGTGCGGAAATCATAAGTGGCTGAGTCCTCTATGGAGTTTCTGCATGAAATTCATTACATGGCTGGCAGGCACTGTACTCTCTGGTCTTGGCTTCTTCACAGCTCATGTTGGCTGACTTCGGGACTCCTGGTTATCATTGAAGTTGACTGAGATATAACTCCTGACGTCCTACAGAGATGGCTATGATTTGTCAACTTGCTGCAGTGAAATACAACTCTTGCCTAAGTGAATTAAAATTACATCTTACTGTTGGGCCTTGCTGATTTGCTAAGCATTGTTCTATTCCCAGACGTAGGTTCAAAATGGGAAAAGAACATACTGGCCAGCATTCCAAAGAGATGTGCTCTGAGAATGACATAAAATAAAACCTTGGAGATTTCAAGTGGCTGAAAAGTATGCCAGACCCTGTTCTCATTTATAATTACCATCTTTTTTTTTTTTTTCCACATAACATACATTGTTTGTGGAGAATATGCCCTGTGAGTTTTGTGATATCTCAAAACAGTTCCCTGAATCCATTCATGTGACTGACTGGTACAATGAAGGACACAGATCTGCAAGCCAAGACGACAACATGAGTCGCAAGTCGGCTTGGGGGTCATTTAACAAAAACATCACATTCATTTTTGCAAAGGAGAAAGATACAAGAATAATTTGGCACACCTAAATAATTAAATACAAACTTGCAAAGGCCAGATGAATAAGGATTAACTGCTAACCTTTTAAGTTGCTGAGTGTTGCAACTTAAACAGCATGAAACCTATTTGGGCATTTTATAGAAGGAAACGAGTGCAAGCACCATGGACCTAAGAATTATTTTTCAATAAATACTTAAGAGATAGTCATATCCACTTAGCAGAAAATGTCACATGTATGAGAGTGGGCTAAGGCTGGGTCAAATTGGAAAAGAGAGAGATTTAGGGAGCTCTTCTGAGTCACCAGGCTGCAGAGAAAAGCCCGTCTTTCATTGAAGTTCATTGCCTGTGTACCACTCACAACACAGAATCAGGACATGTGGGCTCTGGTCCTTGCTGTCACTAGGTAGCATATTGAGTCACCTCTCCAGTGCTCAAAGCTCTCTCCCTCCTTGCATTCTCTTTGAAAGTTCCTTTCTCACTTCCAGATGTCTATAAAACAAGGATGAGTTAAAGTCTCCTGGATTTACGGTTTCCACTGACCTAAGCCAGGCACTTGAACATAATTCTGTGATGAGACTTTCTTCTAACCCAAGGCTGGAAACACATTTATGAGATGCATGAGAGTTTAGGGGCAAAAAGAAAAAAAAGAATTAAAGTGCTTCTTGTTTATTCAGCATAAGAGGACCCAATAATGTCTTTCTCTTCTTTATTCTCTCTTGCCTCTTCCAAGTAGAAGCAAGTGTCTAATCTCAGAAGTCTCCATCTTTTATAATGGAGTTAAGGGATATATATATTTTTTCAGTTTGTAATTGCAATTTTATAATGATCAGAAGCTCAAAGCAGCATTTCCAGGGATAGAAATGTTCTTTTTAACAAGAAGCATGACTAAACTACAGATTCTACAGATATAAAAATTAAAATGAAAGAAAACAGTATTCACATTTGTTTCTGATTATTTTGTTTGCCAGATTCTCGTTCAAAACACTGTTTGGCTAAAAGTGGTATCAGGGTCCCAACGGTGAGATACACCCTCCGTTTACTTCTCAGCAATCCTCAAGTTCAATGGTGGGAATGTCAACATTATTACTTCTTCTTCAATAGAGAAGCTTCTGAAACGAGGTTTTCACAACCATGAAAAGAGCTTGTCTTGTGACTCCTGCCGAGCCAACGATACACTCATTCTTCCTTTGCCTTGAAACCAAAGCCTTTCCCCAGCCCTAAGCAGACGTATGTCAGTGGTTGAATGTGTAATCGAACCCACCCCCGTGAAAAGCACTAGGTTACTATTATGGGTCAATACTTCCATCTCACTAATATGCTGGTAGATTGTTTGCATGGTTCCTTGTGTAAACTGAACACTTCTTAAGTACACTAGCGTTTTCTTGGTACTAACTTCCCGCAAGCCCGCAATGAAAAAGATGATCATCTTTATCTCAAACATAAAGTTTTCAGTTAGAACTGTCTACCTGGAGGTCATTATACTTCTTCTCATGCAGCAACATTTTAGAGATAAAAGTTCAAGTGGATCTGCCAATTCAAAATGGAAAACAATTTGCTCTGGCAAAGCGGAGTCATGAACTCGTCTTAGTTATGCTTGGCTATTTCTTGACATGGGGTAGAGTGACTTATGGTTTTTTCCATGAAGTCCGAGCTTTTCGAAACTGCAGGGCACCCCGCGTGAGCGACGGCAATGCTGTCTGTGAAAGAGGAGTAGCAGCTTTGAAATATCCACAACCAACACAATTTTGATTAAAGAAAGAACTCTGGTTTTTAATAGTTTTGATCATTAAAAAAGTTTAAACCTGCATAGCAATCATTTCAAAAATAATTATTTAATGTTCCATAATTAAACTGTACACAACCTAGTCTTGGGACATAGAAGCCAGTGAGGTGAGTCTGGGGCAGTCCTGTGCAGTCCCACGAGTCAGGAGTAGAGTTTCCATTGGCCTTTTTATTTTCCTTTATATTCTTTTTTTTGTCACTTTGATCATTTTAGTTTATTTGGATACTTGGCACAATCTAGCTCCGCTGCTGAGCGGATGTGCACGGGGAAGAGAGAGCCGCTGACCCCATCCTCTGGCCCTTCTTGCTCCCCTCCCCCGACTCGGCCAGGTTCCTCAAAGTCGCTCGATGTCTCGGTATTTCTTCCGCAGAATAGAGACCTGGTCTTTAAAGAGGACGGGGTCGAGCCTCATCTGAGAGTGGATCAGCGGCATGTAGCCAAACCAGCTGGCAAACGTATTCATGCAGCTCTGTCGCTGGGCAAAGTGGTCAGGGTCAGCCCAGCGGGAAGCCCGAGAGGTCTGGGGAAAGGGAGAGAAAGAAGGAAGACGATGAGACAGGTGCCAGGTGAGATGGACACATGGCTGAAAACGAAGTCAGGCTTAACGGGCATGCAGTAGGGCTCAGGGTCTGGCCTGGCCACCACGCGGCCCCGTCCACGTGCCTGGTGAAGACGCAAGCATGGGTCCGGATTTTCAGCCTCGCCAGAAGATTTTCCTGAGACCTGCCACGCTTCCCAACGCCCCAAACATACAAAGATCCATAGGGACTGACACATTCTCTGGTCCATGAAACTGCTGTGGTCACTAAACATAAAACTTTTCTTCGCACTTGGGAGTAAATGCGATGACTAATAATGTATTTATGGTTTCACAGATAATTTTCTGAAACCCTCCTGTTAATTTGGTTGATTCTGGGTAAGAAGAAAGATGGCTGCCGTCTCTTCAGCTCTCCATGTTGACCCTAAGGTTGGTTAAATATTTTTAGACCATTTAAATGACTGACATTGATTTAAAAGAATGCCTTAAGTGACTTGATTGCTGAAATTTAAATAGATCAACTAAGCATAATGTCTTTAAAATCGTGTTTTTATGAAACAAGGAAAAGGTGGGCTGCCCAATTATGTCGAAAAAAACCCACAAACTCATTTATGTCAATAGGCCACTGTTGAATGGTGTGTGTGTGTGTGTGTGTGTGTGTGTGTGTGTGTGTGTGTGTAATGTGTTTGCATCCTCATGCATTGTTAGAAAATACTTTCATAGGAAGGTACATTTTGCTGTGAGAATCACTGAGTCACTTTAAAACCACAAGTGTCAACCACATGCTTGAAAGAAAGCATCGAAGGTAAATACAAATGTCAAGTTATCTCGGAGCAGCAGAACAACAAACAAAACACTCTTTGTAAAGTGCTTTCATGAGCTCATTTGAGCTTCGCAGCAACCTGGTCGAGTTATCTACCCAGGTAATAACATCTCCGCCGTACAGATGAGGAAGCAGGTTCAAGGAAGTTAAAATTGTTTGTTCAGGGCTAGAAAGGGGCAGAACTCAGGTTTCATTCTTTACCTTTTGTACCAGAGGAACTCTGCTTGGTAAATCAGAGAGAGCATCAAATTAAGCTGACCAGTTGAGTCCATATCAGAGCCGGAAGTCCCAAAGGTACCTCCATTTTTCTCCTAATTTGGGATGAGCTTGCAGGCCATTTCTGATTGGTCCACTTATTCCCAAAGGGCTAGACCCACTACATCCCGGTGAGTGTTCACATCCTCAAAGGGAAACACTGTCAAGAGCCTAAGCTCATTCTTATTCTCTTACAAATGAAAAAAAAAAAAAAGAGTCCAAGTGAATCATTCAAGTCTCTTTTTTGCCTCTTGATTTTAACATTTATTTTGGGTCAACCAACATATTACAGAAGATATCTTTCCTGTGTTATAAAGGCGTAATTTTAGAGCACGATATCCATTTACTTCACCAGTCACACAAACATTCAATAAACTAGTGTATATGATGGGAAAAAGGGGGCAAATATAGCACATATCTAGCTAGATACGTCTAGTTAGACCTAAGCCTAAATTTAGATTTGTTCCAAAAGATGTGTAAAGTCACTAGAAATATTGGTTTGGTAGAATTAGGCAAATCTATGAAAAGAGTAAAAAACCAACCCCTAAGAAACCATACGTTATGAGTTCCACCCCTAATTTGTGTATAACCTCAGGGGAGTCCAGAGGACTCTGAGTTAACAACATTAAAGGAATGGTGTATCTTTAAATGAGATCATAAATATGACTATGCATGGGTACTCAATACATTTTGCTTGAATTTGCAAAGTCTTTCAGTCTTAAAAATGACAAATTCTTGTAAATCCTCTCGCCTGTCCTTTTAGTAGTTAGAGGGAAATAGAATTTTCTACTAGATTCTTTGCTTTGTCCAGTACCTAGTACCTAGACCAATGCCTGATAACCTGTACATATTTGGTAAATATTAAATTATTAAATTTTATAAACTTAAAATCCTGTAAATTTTTTGCGTTTACTAAATTCAGTGAATGAAAAACCATCAATTGTGTTAACATGAGGCCTGGTTACATTTTCCTCTGCAAAAGCTGGATTTATATGTGATTTTCAATAACTGTTAGAACAAGGTACATAGAAAACCCCCCAGATTGAACTGATATAACTACGTAAGTATGTCCTTTTAGGCTGACTCAAATCCTGCTGGATTCTCCATGATTTAACTTGGGTAGATCTAAATGGTCTAATGGTTTTTGGTTTCGTACATAGAGTACTGGGCTCTGTCCAAGATGAATAAAAGGACCCTGAGGTGTAGAAGAATAAATAGTGGAAGAAACAGAGGCCGGGATTCAATTCCAAGTTGTCTCTAATCCTGGGTGACTTCTGGCAAGATGCTTAAATTCTCTGGGTCCTAGTTTTCTTACTTGTAAAAAGAGAAAGATTATATTTTGCTGAAAGTATCTTTAGTAGTAATCGTTTGTGACCCAACACTGTATTTTACTTTGGCAAATGCTTTCATACGTCTGACCTCAACGCTGTGAGGTAGATTTCACCATTTCCATTTTAAAGACGAGACAATTGAGTTTTGGAAGGTAACTGACTTGCCTACAGCAATGAAGTGCTGGCTCTAGAACTGAAAACCAAGTACTATGACTCCTCATCTGCCTCCACAATGTGCATCCGACTCAAGAGCAGCCATTAGGAGGCTGTGTTGAGAGTATTACTAGCCACTCAATAAAACACCTAAAATAAACTTGCATAAATTCTCTTTAGGTCTTTAACTCTGGAGAACAGACGTCTTTCTTATGCCACCTCGTAGGTCACATGAGCGCTTTTATTTCTTTATTCAACTTTTTTGAAGTAAAAATGTTGTGTTAGTTTCAGGTGTACAGCAAAGTGATTCAGTTATACAGATATATATTCTTTTTTAGATTCTTTTCCATTATAGGTTATTACAAGATACTGAGTATTGGTCACTGTGCTAGACAGTAGGTCCTTGTTATTTACCTATTTTATATATAGTAGTGTGTATCTGTTAATCCTAAACTCCTGATTTATCTCTCCCCACACCCACTATCCCCTTTGGTAACCACAGTTTGTTTTCTATGTCTGTGAGTCTACTTCTGTTTTGTAAATAAGTTCATTTGTATCATTTTTTAAGATTCCACATATAAGCAATATTATATGATATTTGTCTTTCTCTGTGTGACTTACTTCACTTAGTATGATAATCCCTAGGTCCATCCATGTTGCTGCAAATGGCATTATTTCATTCATTTTCATGGCTAATATTACATTGCATATATATATATATATATATATATATATAAAATGTCACATCTTCTCTATCCATTCATCTGTCGATGGACACTTAGGTTGCTTGCATGTCTTGGCTTTTGTAAACAGTGCTGCTATGAACATTGGGGTACATGGGTATTTTCGATTTAGAGTTTTCTCTGGATGTATGCCCAGGAATGAGACTGCTGGATCATACGGTAACTCTATTTTTAGTTTTTTAAGGAACCTCCATACTTTTCTCCATAGTGGCTGCACCAATTTAGACAGCTTTTATACTCTTGACATAAAGATACTCTTGACTTACATCTTCCCAATTACCCACGCCCAAACATACACTCCCTCAGAGCTTTTGCACGTGGTTTGTTTCCTGATATCTTCTCATTATGCTTCCTAGAGGAACAGTGAGTCCTCATTACCTCAGACTGAGTCACCAGTGAGCAAAGCAAGGGGGGAGAGTTCTCCTTCTCTTACCTGTCCCATCATTGTCTCCTTATACTGTTTCTTCTGGGTCACTTTGATTGGAGGCAATTTTGTCACAGCAGACACCAGGAAATTCATGAGTATGTCCTCACAGTTGGCCAGCTGGTCCACCATGTTCTTCAGGCTGGCTGGCAGGTAATGGGTGTAAAGGTAGTGATAATATCTGTACGAACCAAAGACAGGTTTCAGCAGGGGCCATCATTATAAAATAACAGGTGGTCTTCTTTGTCAGAAACCACATACTCATTCTTTGAATCCCTAAACATATCATGGTTGATGATGATGATGATGACAATTGTCATTTATATGGTATATACTATATACCAGGTAATGTTCTAAAGTACTTTACAAGAAATGCCTCATCTAATCCTTAGAAGAAACCTATGATGTAGGTACTACAGATAAGGAAACAAGGTACAGAGAAACACACAGATGGAGCTATTGCTTGCCCAGGCTAACTTTAATATCAGGCTGGTTGGTTAGAAACCGAATACTTAGATGGCAGGAGAAGTTACTTACATGTGATCCACATATCATTACAAGTTGCTTTACAATTTTAATTATTGGTTTAATCAGAACTGTATTCAGTACTATCCCATAACTCTGAGTTCAACAGTATAACCATTCCATTTTTTCTGGCCTGTAAGCCATGTGTTTCAACACTGTTAGAGCAAAACCCCAATCAATCTGGTGGTCAATCATTATGGAGAACCCACAATTTATTTGAATTATTTCTCACCCTAGTATTTTTTTTGGAGGAATATATAGCATATGTTTACTGGAAAAATCATTTGAATGAATTTGATTCACTGAATTGTGGTGGCGGGAAGAAAGAGGTGGAGTCTTGAGATCAAAATTCAGTCACCCTAAATGCTTATACCTTGTGCATTTCCAACTCCATCCTTGAGACGACAGGATTCTCTATTTTTTTTACTAAAAAAGACCAGGTTAAGATTGGTGTGTTCACCTTACTAAGGAGGGGATTTCAATAAAGGTTGAGTCAGGACCATCAGCCTTCTACACTCATGAATTTGGCCATCTTACCTGAGTCTCCTAGCTTTAAAGACCAAATCTATGCAAATAGCTCCCAAATTTATATCTCCATCCCTGACTTTTTCAACACACTCTTTTAAATGTCCCTACATGCCCAAGACTGAACTCCTATATTTTCCCTAATACCTATTCCATCTACGCCTTTCCCCAACTCTGTTGATGGCTCACTACTCTATACTTCTAGCTCTTCAGGTCAAAAACCCTAAGAGTCATCAAACTCTGTACCCAATCTGTCAGGACATCATGCTGGAGCATCTTCAAAATATGCCCACAATCTGATCACTACCTTCCCACGTCTGTTGCTCACTTCCTGACCCAGGCTCCATCATCTCTTGCCTAGATAATGTCAGTCACCTCCTAATAAGTCTCCCTGCTTCTCCCCTGGCCCCCTTATAGTCTATCTTCACCACAGCCTTCACAGTAGATGCCTAAAACATAAGAAGGATTGCTCTGCTCACACCCCTGCACCGGCTCCCCACGTAACTTAGAAGACTGTCAAATCCTCATGATGGAAAGTAGGGTCCTACATCCGGGATCCCATGACCTCTCTCACCTGCTTGCCCCTCACTCCACTCTGGTCACATCGGTCTTCTGGATATTCCTCCAGCATCCTGTCTCAGGGCATCCTTTCACACTGTTCCCCACGCCAGAGCACTCCTCCTACAGGTGTTCTCCTGGCTGACTTCCTTTCTCCTTTCAAGTCTCCTCTCAAATCTCATCCGTTCAGTGAGGATCACCCCCAACCTGCCCCTTCTCCACCTTTGCCCTGCTCTGCTTTGTCTTATCTCCTAAGAGATATATATTTTAATTTATTTATTTTTATTTTATTTATTTTTGGCTGTGTTGGGTCTTCGTTGCTGCACGCGGGCTTTCTCTAGTTGCAGCGAGCGGGGGCTACTCTTCATTGAGGAGCACGGGCTCTAGGCACGCACGCTTCAGTAGCTGTGGCGCGCGGGCTTCGGTAGTTGTGGTTCGTGGGCTCTAGAGCGCAGGCTCAGTAGTTGCAGCGCACGGGCTTAGTTGCTCCACTCCATGTGGGATCTTCCCGGACCAGGGCTCAAACCCGTGTCCCCTGCATGGGCAGGCGGATTTTTTTTTTTTTTCCGGTACGCGGGCCTCTCACTGTTGTGGCCTCTCCCGTTGTGGAGCACAGGCTCCAGATGCGCAGGCTCAGCGGCCGTGGCTCATGGGCCCAGCCGCTCCGCGGCATGTGGGATCTTCCCGGACCGGGGCACGAACCCGCGTCCCCTGCGTCGGCAGGCGGACTCTCAACCACTGTGCCACCAGGGAAGCCCGGCAGGCGGATTCTTAACCACTGCGCCACCAGGGAAGCCTCTCTCTTAATATATTATAGAATTATTATGTATATTGCCTCTCCCCTTGTTAGAATACAAAACCTGTATGGGCAGAAAATTTTTTTCCTATTTTACTCAGCGGTAAATCCTAAGCACCTAGAACAGTGCTGGAGGTGCTCAACTAAGCGTTTACTTTGTTGTTCCTCTACACGTTCAGTTACTCAATACACCCTGAGTACGTCTCCACACCTCAGAGTCGCCGAAGATGCTGCTCTACCATAGTTTCTAAAGATGCCATAAGCCAAGAGGTTTTACTGATTTCAAAGATACACGTTGGCCACATCAACAGAATTGAAATGGGGATTTTCCAAACTAATTTCCATTAAGGTTGTTAACAAGATTTGGCCCAGGTTCCCATCTCTGCAGCAGCCAGAAACGCATATAAAAAGCAATATAAGTCGTCCAAACTCCTCACTTGTGGTAAAGAGCAGCTCCCGTCAACACCATGGAGTAGTCGTTCGTCCACTTGGACGTGTAGCCCCACCGCTCTTTCGAGTTGTCCCAGAAATGGCTGCGTGCAGGGTACCCTACGATCCTCTCGGGGAAGCTCTGCCACACGGTGAACGCAAAATCCACCTGCAGGCAGAACACAAGCCAAACAAGCAATCAACGGTGTTAACAAATGTCAACAAAACATCCCCTTCCCCCTGCTAATTCGTAATGTGAAATCCCGGGACTGTTGCGAAACATTAATTCCATGTCTTCATCAGCAAATTAAACTGACTGCTTGACATTTGGCCCCGTAATTATGCACATTTTAATGTTTTCTGTTAAAGAAACTTCAGATTAGTGTGGAAATGAAAGAAGGAAAAAAAATACATTGGTGGATATGTCCTTTAGAAATCCAGTCTACTCAAGCTAAAAAGTCAAAAAATCAGTTGCTTCCCCCCACCAACCTCCAAAAGATAAGTGACCACTGATTGATGGCAGGCAGAAATGCATCTGTTTTATAAACAGGAGCAGATTTTCTATATACATCTACAGTATGAATATAGCGCATACATCATCACCAGCACACAGCAAAGCCAGAGTGACTAACATCAAAGCATCCACTTAAAAGCCAGAGAAAAGATGTTTAAAAAGCACACGGGTTCTAACAGGAATACAAAGCAGATATCATCAAGAACAGTCATTCAGGCCTCTCAGGTGTGAAGACGCTCAGTGCGAGGAAATTTGGAAAACACATCCACATTGAAGAATCACTAGGAATAAGTGGGGACAGGCCAAGATTATTTTTAAAGGAAATGCAGTGAAATGACCTCCTAGTGCTCAAAATAACCCAAAGCAAGTACTTCTGAACCTGCTACAAACTAACATGTGTAATTAACAAATAGTCTGTTTTCAAATGTATAAACTCACTTTTGACTTTCTATAATTCTTTGATGAATGACACATAAAACAACATACAGAAAGTAAAAACAGAACAACCCCCCCCCAAAAAAAACCCAGTAACAGCAAACCATCATATAATGGTCATAATTGTGTAATGCTTATAATACAACAGGCATGGTTGTAAGAACTTACATATTTTAACTCATTTCATCCTCACAGTAGCCCTGTGAAGTAGGTAATTTTAGAGTGTCCAGTTTACAGAGAGGGAAGCTAAGGACATGGAGGTTCAAATAACTTTTCTGAGTTAGTAAGTGGCAGAGCCGACACTTGAACCCAAGCCATCTGGTTTCAGATTTGGTGTGTACTGTTATCATCGCTTCCCTTCTAGCTCTGTGGCTACAGTGTTGAAAACAATTTATCTTATACAGGTTACACGTGCACCTAACAACCTTTGCCCTATCTCTTCTTGATAAGCAATGCATACGGAATTTTCATTTATTCCACAGATATTTCAAGTCTTGGCACTGTGATGGTGGCTGGGTGGCTGAGTGATGTTGGCAAGTCCAGTTCCTGACCTCCCAGGGGTTCAAAAGCAGAGCAAATAACTGTGCACAATAGCCCAAAGGTGGAAACAACCCAAACGCCATCAACTCATCAATAAATAAACCAAACATGGTATATCCATTCAATGGAATATTATTCAGCTATAGAAAGGAATGGAACACTGACGCGTATGCACGCCACGACACGGACAGACCTTGAAAACATTATGCTGAGTGAAAGAAGCCACACACAAAAGGCCCCATATTGTATGATTCCACTTACAAGAAGTGTCCAGAATACACAAATCCACAGACGTGGAAAACAGATTGGTGGTTCCAAAGGACAGGGGCTGACTGATGAATGGATACAGGGTTTCCTTTTAGGGTAATGAAAATGTTTCAGAATGAAGTAGAGGTAATAAGCATACAACACTGTGAAGGTATTAAACGCCACTGAATCCTACATTTGAAGATGGTTCAATTTATGCTATGTGAATTTTACCTCAATTACAAGACAAAGCAAATAAGCCTAGATCAGTATTTCCCAAGCTTTCACCACACGCATAACCATCATCGCTCCTTTTCCCACATTCCCACCACATATTCGATAACTTAGTTAATATTTTTCTTTAAACGGCATACTCTTTTTTTTTTTTTTTAAGCCTCATCCTAGGTAAACATGTCAGTGAAATCCTAGGTATGGGAAACACTGGCCTGGGTGATCTGTAAGGGTCCTTTTATCTCTGAATTCTTGGGGCTTAGTTAGAAGACATGATTTTTGTAAACAGCCATGAATTTAAATTTTTATGGAGATTTAGTTTGGTGCCCTGACTCAAGATAAGAAAGCCTTAACAACACAGGTTTTTCCCCAAAGCTATAATACCTGGGGGGAAAAAAAGTAGGGTGCTGGGACACACATTAAGAAAGCGTGGTGGGGTAAGGGGCGTCTCAAAGTTAAAAGATAGCAGGGGAGTGAACAGTATTTGCCAAAAAACTGAAAGCAGGTCACGATAACCTGCACATCATCACTGGCGTTCAATACTAATGGTGCCAACTGATGGGATAGTACATTATGCAGCCCGTCGTCAAAGAATCAGCCTGGCTGTCAGCACTCTTTGGCGTTTTCCATTATCCTCTGAAAAGGAGACGCATACACCGATGGGGCGTTTTCATCACATGAATTCCTTACTATCTCAAAGCCATTTCAAGTCATTTCAAAGCAACTCAAAAGTAAATTCCAATAAAACTATGATTCTTGTGATAGTTCTGCTTTCACACAGCTCATTAACACATCAAAGGAGGCAAAGGTCAGCTTATGGCCTCTTAAAAACTAACATCGGTTTTCTTTTGAGAATTTGAAGCAACCCAGATAAATGTAAGTAACTATAAACCAACTCTATCTAATACCCTTTATAGGACACTGTTTAAAAATCTATCCTTAATACTACAGAGAGGCATTTAAACAAGCCAAGAATCCTTAGAGAGGAAATAAAATGAACCAACATCTATTCACCTAAAAAAAAGAGAAACCCTCGTCCTCCACGATGTCAGGCAACACGACTGCTCCACTGTTCAGCCAGAAAAGTAAACAAACCAGATGGCCAGCCTCTTAAATTTCCATCTCATGCTCAACCCATGCTGACTTCTAATTGCTCCACATACAGCACAAGTTCTTCCCAGCATGCACTGAGAGGCTGGAATTGCTATTCTTTGCAAAGAAATTCACCAGCACGTGGCTACATCACCGTGGGACAGAGAGAAACAAATCCGAGTGTGAGATCAATTGCTCTGTGCCCAGCGGAAGATGAGAGATCAATCAATACTTCAGGTCATGGGGTAACGATTCAGGTATATGCTGCAGTCTTGACTATACGTTTCACGTGGCAACGTGCTGCCTTTCCTCTGTTTGCGCTCCGAGATCCACTGTCCGCTCTTCTTGCCATGCCCTACACCTGGGACAATGGAACTCCGTGGACTGCATAACCTGGTCCTCCTTGCCAGCTGGTGGCTGATTGGGTTAGGTCAATGTGCGTTGCTGGCAGGAAAATGGAGGTGGGACAGAGAGAGGACAGTATTTCTCCCCTGCTTCCCACCCCAGCTTTGGCCCCAGAGTTCCGGTAGGTGCCACACCCCTCCATGGTCATAGCTCTTGTAGGGCAGCCTCTTCTCCCTAGTTCCCCCTCTCAGGGACACCAGAAACACTGTTTCCTTCCTTCACTTCTTCAGGCCTAGAAGTAGGAGCTGCTTCCAGCTCGTGCCACTCCCCAGGTGCCTCTGCCTCTCCTGTGTCGTCCTTTAACCCCACTCACCTCCCTAGGTCGTACTAAATCCCTTCATTTGAGTCACCTGATTTGAATTGTTTGCTGCCAGGACTCTGGCGGCTACAGGCAGGAACTGGGCAATCAAAGTACCTGGCAGAGACCAGAACAAAGACATCCCTCAATAAATACCTGTTGAATGAATTCGTTCCAGGGATGCCAGCCTCCCTTGCAGGAAGCAGGAGAAAAAACGCAGGCTGGAGCGACCCGTTCCTTGTATTCCATTGCAGTCATTCTCTTTGAACATTAAGCATCTCTCCCCTTCCCCCCACCGCTGCTTTCTCCTGCCGACTCACACATGACAAAACTGGCTGTGTGCTCACACTTTAATCTGCACAGCACGCATCCCTCCAACATCACTCATTCACCAAGTATTTATAGAGCTTTGGCTGCATAGAAAGCCTCTGACCAAGGTGAGGTGCAGGACATGTTGTCCTGGGGTGATTTTGGTTGCCCTTACACAGAACGTCTGCTGAACTCCATCTGATGGAGACTTGAAGCATCCACGGAATTTGAAGAGACACAGAGACTGCTAGCCCAAGTCACCATGAGTCCTGGCTATGTGGGCAGCGGGCCGTTAGAATCAGACTGCCAACCAGGAAAACGCCTGCTGGTAAGTGTCGACATTTAAATCGAAAAGAAAATGATTATGAATAAAAAGGAATAAAAGAAGGGGAACAGGATAAGTAGCTAAGTCTCCCAGCGTTTCAGCAGCTACCATGAATAATGTATTTGCGATCTACTACATTTCTGTGTAACTGTCTTTGGTCCCCTCTACGGTTTTAAGTGCGGTTTCAGAGATCAATACTCATTCGAGTTGTAAAAATTGGTTTTCCAGCACAGCTATCTCTCCTCTTCTCTCCCTCTCCCTCACACATTGCTCTGTGCCATCTTATTTTGGGGCACAAATACCTGAACATCTGAAATAGCAGGGATCTCCATCTCAGCCTTCAAGTGAAACCGTTTGCTCTCGTGTGGGTTGAAGAAAATGCACACTTCCAACCCAGATGGAAAAGCTGCCTTTAGAACCCAGAATAGTGTGTTCCCCAACAGAGTCAACACACGCCCACACAGGCGTTAGAAGAATCAGGAAAGATGGGCTCCCGGAGCGTGGTTTCAAGAAAATGCTAAACAGGTGCCCCTGCCCGCCTCCCCTGGGTCCCTCTGCACACCTGCCTGCACCTGCACTGTTTAAAAACAAACAAACAAACAAACAAAAGGAGGGAGGGATGAGGTGAGGTGCAGCCTCGCAAATGAGGAACCGATTAGCAGAGGAAACAAAGGGGAAAATGCCCTCATCAGGGCGCCAGGTGGCGGCAAGGTGCTCACAGGAACCGGGTGGATTCAAACCAACTCTGCAGGAAGTTTTGAAAAACGTTTTGGGCTTGGCCAAGGCAAGGGCAAAAGAGGCGCCGGCACCTTGGGGTTTGAGGCGACTGCCCGCAAGGCACTCCGCCCCTCCTTGGTGAGGCTGCTTACCTCCGTGGTTGAAAGCACAGTGTCCTCGTCAAGGCTGAGCACGGCGTCTGTGATGATGTTGTCATAGGGCAGAAAACGGCTGCTCATAACCTGGGAGGTGGGGGAGAGCAGGCAGGAGGGAAGGAATTGGGGAAAAGAGAGGTGAATGGACAGTCTTGTTTTCAGGAAAATTTCCCCCATCGTCAACTTCACAAAGGACGCTCCACCACCATGTCACCTCTCAACATAGAAGGCTTCCATTTCCCATCCGTGGAGATTCATTTGGTCCCACCATTACTGGGCACCTACTGTGTACAGACACCTTGCTAGTCGAAGGGAGTACAGAGGTGAGTAAGATACATGCTCTGTCTTGGAGGAGTTCATAGTCTGCAGGGAGACCAAGATGACCAAGAGAACAAGACGCGAATGATTGGTCCTCGCCTGATACGAGAGATGCCGGGAGACCAGAGGATGCAGCCACCGGCTGCTTGGAAGAGCAACGAAAGCCTCAGAGTCACATTGAATCAGGACCTTGATGGCCAGGAATCCACCGGGGATAAACAGAAATGAGGCCCAACAGAAAGAGGGCTCAGTAGATGCAAAGGCACAGAGGGGAGAGCCAGCACTCTGAGGCCAGGGAAGAGTGGATGGACGGAGCAGTGATTCCAAGTGTGCGACACACACCACTGGAAGGCCAGGTCCTTTTAGGAGGTGCAGAGACAAACATCTAAAAATTCTACTCTTTATTAATTTTAGCTCAGAGAAGCAAAAATATATACACATATATATTAGTAGCTATAGCAATAAAAGGTACTAGTAGAATTATTCAAAAATAGTTTCATTAAAGTGAAAAGTAAGCTGATTTAAAGAAAAATACTAAACAATAGAACACGTGGTCCATGGATTTAGGAACATTGTGAAGGTAGTATGAAGTTTGGGCAACACCAGGATAAGGCATGGTGAGGTGAGTGTACGTGTGTACGTGTGTACGTGTGTACGTGTGTACGTGTGTACGTGTGTGTGTGTGTGTGTGTGTGTGTGTGTGTGTGTGTGTGTGTGTGTTGAGGGTCTGGGGGGTGAAGGCATCAGTTGAAAAATTGAGACCGAAGAGACTACCCTATGACAGTCCCAGCATGAACTTCTGTGTTGAAGTTTCTGTAGAATACCTAATAAGAATGATGATATAAGAATAACTAACATTTTTTAAAACATTTACTCTGTGTCAGGGAATGTTCCAAGTTCTTATTTATTTATTTAGGCTGTGCCGGGTCTTAGTTGCAGCACGCAGGATCTTCATTTTGCGACATGCGGGATCTAGTTCCCCGACCAGGGATCGCACCTGGGCCCCCTGTATTGGGAGCGCGGAGTCCTACCCACTGGACCACCAGGGAAGTCCCGGAAATGTTCCAAGTTCTTTATGCACATCATCTCATTTCATCTGTATAACAAACCCGTTTTATAGGTGAGAAAACTAAGGTACAGAAAGGTTGTGTCTTGCTTAGGATGGACCCACCATCGTACCATCCCAGATGGTGTGATTCTATAGAGCACCTCAGCCCTATGCTATACCTGTCTCGGGGTTGAAAGGACCTCAAAAGTGAATGTGGGCACCCATGGCAATCTCTCATTCACCACTTCCTCTGGAAGGTATGTTAACTGTTGTGCCTTCCTCTCTCAATTCCTACGCGGAGACTGAGAGAGGAGACACTTGCCATCAACTTTCAAGGCACAAAGGCCAGGGAATGAAGCAGTTGGATGCTAGAGACAAAGGGAAGAGGGAGGCACTTAGCCCGGCTGCCATGGCTCACAAATCTAAGGACCCCTCCCCACAACCCCCCAAAGAAGCCCAAGCTATGTTTACATCAGGGAGCCAGCTCCTCTGCAAGCCTCATCTCAGGTTTGGTTTACATGCCGCAGAAGCTACTGGAGGGCTCACGTCATTAAAGGATGGAAAATGCCCACTAGAACCCATCTGTGGGAGCTCAAGGGATATACCTACACTCCAGGCTCTGCTCCTACACATCTGCCACCTGGGTCAAGTGTTTCTGTCTCTTTCTCAGTCTTCCAAAATAAAATACAAAAGCGATCAGCAACCCCGCATACACAGGGCTCAGAAATCTCAGCCTGAAGCAATTCTCCTGACACTGTTTACATGTCCACTAACTAAGGCAGAAGTTATTAGTTGCCAGCTTAGGGGTGCCCTGACCTTTCCCTTGTTAAGCCTACAGGGGAGAGCTGCAGTGACAAGGCCTATAAATTCAAAATAGAATTTTCCAACCAAAGCAGCAAACACATCAATTTTAAACTCAAGGCTAGACATGGAAATTTAAAATGCGGGAGGAGGAGGATATATGACTTCTTTCGCCATTATGGGCCCAACCACTGGGTTTAAAAGGATCCATTTCCTTTTTCTGAACTTGCTCCATCAATAAGAGTTAAGAGCCCATAAGTCAGCCACTTCTAAATCTAGTGTAGAAACCAGAGGCTCTCTTTCAAATACCCTGCCTCAGCTACGTTCCAAAAGTTCAGTGGATTAGCATGAAAGGAGCCAACGTCCTTACAAAGTCAATCCTGAGGGAGCTGGGTTTTCCTTGTTAGCTCATTTAAGAGCTACTTAGCTACCATGTAACAGCCCAAACCCTTCTAGAATGAACGAACACAACTAGGAAATGACCAAGGCTCAAGAAGTTCCCTGTCTAGTAGGGAAGATAAGAAAGGTTCATAAGTAATAATACAAAGCACCATGAGAGGTGACATTTTTCAAGCACCTGCCATGTGCGTCCACACTCCTAAGCAGCAATACGTTTACATGGACAGGAGCAAACCCTTTGATCCTTTTAGCTGACCTGTTAGGTGTTATGACTTCTTCCACTTACTGAAGGAGGGACTGAGGCACACAGAATTAAACAACTTGTCTTAGGTCACATAGAGGAAGTCTGACCCCAAAGCCCGTAATACAAACCATCACTTTACAATGCCCCCCGCCCAGAAGAGGAGCTGACATCTACTGAATCCTGAGTGTAGAACAGGTACAGGGCTGAGCACCTGTAATGCAGTATCTCATTCCATCATCAAAATGGGCCCAAGTCTTAGCCCAGGTGCCCTAGAATACAGTCTAAAGCAAGACTTAAGTGCAAATGCTTTATCAGGCGGCGCGGTCCCGACGAGGGAGAAGGAACCACATGACCGACTGGATTCAGTGGCCAAGGTGAAGTCTAGGACTCAGCAAATGGCCAGAAGCCCAGACATACATATGGCTGCGAGAATGGGAGGTATCTTATAAGACACATCTGATAAAGCCTACAAGAAAGGTACTATGATTATCATCTTCATCTTAGAAATAAAGAAACTGGGACTACTAGCTGGGAGTGAAGAGTATAAAATCAATCAATGAGTCTGTGCACAAAAATGCAATACTAACCATAGGAGTCAGAATGGCTCCCAGTCTGTCCGTCAGAATGGATCCTATTTGAATATCCTGACATATTCACAGAGAGACTTACCTACCAGAAGGAGATCTAGTCACCCATGGAAGCATAAAAAAACAAAGAATTTCCAAGTGCAAAGTGAAGAGAACCCATCTGAGGACTGTTCAGGGCTTCAGGCATTGGAACCGGGGAGACAGATATATGGGGTTATAGGCAGGAGATTTTTCTGTGCCAGTCCCTTTTGTGAAACCATACCTATTGGTGAGATGAATTCATAAGGGTAAGTAAGACCGATGCCAAGAGGCATGTGATTATTCTCATTAAGTGCTTACCAATCAGCTCTCTGATAACCACACTGCTTGACTCCAGTCCTATGAAGGCTGTGACTATATCTGTCACATTCACCACTGTGTTTCCTCATGTTGCCCAGCACACAGCAGGCAGCCTACACTGAAACTCAATAGACAATGCACGGATCACCTTGTCCACGCACGTGACAGTTACAATTCTCAGTGCATCCTGCTGAACTATATGAAATGGCCACTTGTAGCCACCCAAATGATGATTTCAAACGGTGCAACCTAATACCTTGGTCGTTCTTATTCTGGCTCAAAGAGGGTTTACTTAGTGTGAGACAATCTCTCATGACCTAACTCTCTGGGGACTGACGGAGGAAGTCTCTTAGATGACAATTGCAGTGTCATTTAATAGAGACTAATTTCCTCACAATGGATAAGATCTATAAGAAAGCCACCAGCAGAAGCTTGAGAAAAAAGAATTCACCTCTGGCAGCAAAGAGTGGAAGATATTTCAAAGAGGAGGGAGCATGTGAACCAGGGCTTAAAGAATATATGGGAATTTCAATAACAGAAATGAACAGCTGAGGAAGGAGGGTCAAGACTTACGGCAAATGGGAAAGACAACACTTAGGGGTAGGAAGGGACACAGTGCTGTTAACTGTGACTGATGAAATCTGTAGAGGAAAAGCAATGAGAGAGAAGATTGGGAAGGCCAGCTGAGGCCAGATTATACACGGCCTCTGATGTTAATTGAAAGCATTAGCAAAAAGACTCCCTTAAGGGCCATGAGATGATTAAGAAGATCATTCCGTTCTAGGCAAAATGAACTGGAGAAGGGAAGCAGGGGCCAGCTAGGCAGCCAGCACCCCTGAGAGACTCTGATGGACACCTCAAAACAAAAGTAAGGTGGAAATGTCCTTTTTAAGATAAATGTTACGAAGAACCACTACTCTCAAAGACACAACTAACTCAGATTAATCAGCTAAGCAAACCTCACGCATCACCACCACCATCAGCAACCTCATGATCATCTTCATCACGTCCAGAAAGATCACCATTGCCAGGCCCTGAACTTATTTACTCCTCAGAGTACCCCATGTGGTATGTGTTATTATTCCCATTTTGTAGATGAGGAAACTGAGGCTCAGAGAAGGAAGGTATAGTCAGGGTCACACATCTCCTGAAGAGTTAGTATTAGGACCCAATTCAAAAGCCTACGGCTGTCACTATGGAAAACGGTATGGAGGTTCCTTAAAAAACTAAAAATATAGCTGCCCATGATCCAGCAATCCCACTCCTGGGCATATATCCAGATGAAACTATAATTCAAAAAGATACTTGCATCTCTATGTTCATAGCAGCTCTATTCACAATAGCCAAGACATGGAAAAAACCTAAATGTCCATCAACAGATGAATGGATAAAGATGTGATTCATGTGTGCACACGTGTGCGCACACACACACACAATGGGATACTACTCAGCCATTAAAAAGAATGAAATAATGCCATTTGCAGCAATATGGATGGACCTAGAGATTATCATACTAAGTGAAGTCAGTTAGAAAGAGGAAAACAAATACCATATGATAACACTTACAAGTGGGATCTAAAATATGACACAGGGACTTCCCTGGTGGCGCAGTGGTTAAGAATCTGCCTGCCAATGCAGGGGACACGGGTTTGATCCCTGGTCCCGGAAGATCCCACGTGCCACGGAGCAACTAAGCCCGTGCACCACAACTACTGAGCCTGCGCTCTAGAGCCCACGAGCCACAACTACGGAGCCTGTGTGCCACAACTACTGAAGCCTGAGCTCTAGAGCCCATGCTCCACAACAAGAGAGAAGCCACCGCAGTGAGAAGCCCGCACATTGCAACAAAGTGTAGCCCCCGCTCGCCGCAACTAGAGAAAGCCCACACGCAGCAATGAAGACCCAACACAACCAAAAATAAATAAATAAATATCTTTTAAAAAGTTAAAAAAAAATGACACAAATGAACTTATCTACAAAACAGAAATAGACTCGCAGACGTAGAGAACAGACTTGTAGTTGCCAAGAGGGAGGGGCGTAGAGGAGGGAAGGAATGGGAGTTTGGGATTAGCAGATGCAAACTACTATTTATAGGATGGATAAACAACAAGGTCCTACTGTATAGCACAGGGAACTATATTCAATATCCTGTGATAAACCATAATGGAAAAGAATATGAAAAAGAATATATTTATGTATAGTTGAGTCATGTTGCTGTACAGTAGTAATTAAAACCACATTGTAAATCAACTATACTTCAATAAAATTAAAAAAAAAAAAGCCTATGGCTGTCAAAGCAGAGGACATTCAGAGACAGGTATGGTTTTGGAAAAACAGTCCAGGCCAGCACTTCCCAGGAGGAAGATGGCTAAGACCAACACCCATGGTGCCCCACTGAAGACACAAAGATTCCACACTGATTCCACAGTGAAGTCCCCTCTGGTCCTACCTTGCTTTCTCCTTCAATCACGATGACAGGCACGGCAGTGGCAGGCCAGCGGTGTTTGGCTGGGAGAGGCTTGTCACAATTCCATAGAACTATGATCTGAAAGGGACAGGGGGTCGTGAGATGGCTTGGTAGGGCTAGATTTACATAGGCCTCCAACCCAAAGTTTCTTCTTACAGACAGAGAGAGAGGAGATGGGGATATAAGCAAGGCAGGATGGCAGACCTCAAAACTGAATTTAAAGTGAGTCCACTCCCCTCTGTACACCCGAAACTAACACAACATTGTAAATCAACTATCCTCCAATAAAAATTAAAAAAATAAAAGTGAGTCCACTCCTACACAACCCTCAGAACCCGATCACTCTAACAGCCAAAGAGAGGGGACAAAAAGAGTAACCTAAGAAAAACTGTGTCAAGGGGGTAGGACAAAGCTGAGGAGGAAAGAAGTCATTTCAGGGTTGCTGGTTTTTAACAAAGTGTTTTTCTGAATTCTGATGTCTTATGATGACGAGTAAGATAACAACGCCGATCCAATTGAATAAAAACGCACACTGAACGTCTGCGATGCATACACGCCACACCAGGCAACATGGGAGGAAGAAGAGAATTCAAGATAGGACTGGCGTGAGCGCATGTTCTGGATTCTCCAGGATGGTTGATGATTTCCTGTGATCCTGTTATTTCCAATAAAAACGTTTAGCTCCAAAATGCATACTTCCACGTGATTCCATTCTTTTGTTGTGTGTAAACCTTCTTGTGTAATTTACAATTCAGAAAAACCACCGTTAAGAGTACGAGAGCGATACTAATTTGGAAAACATGATTACCAGAGGTATCATCTTCCTTTCCCAATTTTATAATTAGTCACGGTGGCCGTGAAAGAAAAGTTGACGCCTCCTGACACCAATGAATTGGTTTCTGCTGTGGAATCTGAGTTTTCTGGGTCCTCTCAGTGGCCTTTCTGATGTTCCTTTATCACTCTGACACGTAAGAATGAAAGAATGTGCCTATGTATTCTTTAAAGAGTGTATTGGTATATATCAGGCTGGACAAAAAGTTCGCTCAGGTCTTTCCGAAAGATGTTAGAAGAACCCGAATGAACTTTTGGGCCAACCCAATATTTAACTTTACCCCAGGGCCAAGATCTCTTTGTAACCCACCCCTTACCTGTACTAGATTTCACTTCCAAGAACCTCTAAGCTGATGAAAAGGGCGTAACGAGGCGTGACAAAGGAAAGGGGAGTAACGGGGCCCGACGTGGGGAGCACAGTGTGTAGCCGGGAAGGCACAGGGAGGGCTGGGGGGCTCTGGTCCACTGAGAAGGAGGGCGCAGGCGCCGTGGTCAACACTGCCACTCACCTGAGCACAGTACTGGGATTTGGCGGCAGCCACGAGGAGTTTCAACACTGGCTGGGACTGAGAGACCAGGGGGGTCACCGCGTGGATGACTGCAGTGAATTTGGAGGGGGGCTTTAAACCTGAAACAGAAAGGGCAGAGAGGCCTAATGAAGCACTGAAAAACAAGACTTAGAAAATTCGTCCTCTCTGCTCAGCCTCGCCCTGGAGCTAATGTTCCCTTCCAGTGTATTTTTCCTCTGCCTCTTGTGTCCTGACAGAACAAAAACAAGGTGAAAAGCTGCTAGTTAACTGCCGCCTGAGTCTAGGGACCTGGATGATTTACAGTTCAATGCCCATTTCCAGATTCTTCCTTTGATAGTCATTTCCTTCCTCCCTTGGGGAGGCATCTTTGATCTCCCTTCTGTTTTTTAGGCACCCAAAGTCTAATTATGCACACACACCACTACTCACCACTCTCTACCCAAGAAAGGATCTAACTCCAGTCACTTACGTCTTAGGATGGATTTTTGTAAACAGTGCTCTCTCTTCCAGGCTATGTGCATCTGTCTTACTCTTAATTATGTAGTTAAGGGGTTTTTGCCTGTTTGATACTATTTCAGATAATAACTAGCAAGTGGTAAAGGTTAAAAGAACAACGTCCAGAGCATGAGTGTCTATGTCTGAAGCTCAGTTCCACCACTGAGTGGTGGTGGGATCTTGGAAAAATTACTTAACCCTCTGTGCTTCCACAGCTGTGAAATGGGGCTGATAGCCACAGTATCAAAGTTACGGAGTTGTTATGAGAATTAAATTAAATGAGTTAATGCATACAGAGCACTTAGAACAGGACCTGCAGACAGCAAGTGCTCAGCATGAGCTTACCGTTACCATAATCACCATCATCACTATTTCAGAGTAGAAGCTGCTCTACTCCCAAGAATCTCTTCTTTGTGTACCAGTGACACAGCTGAGAGGAAAAGTTTGTTGTCCAGACCTCTGCCAACTGTGCGCTCTAAGGCCCGAGGTGGAAAGGTACTATAAATGCACAAAATAACAACTTCCACCAAAGAGAAAGCAGTGAGATGGCTTCTCCCGCAAAATGAGTTTTTCCATGAGAACACACTAAGAAATTGGAGACAGGTTAAAAAGGCTCCTTAAGGGCTTCCCTGGTGGCGCAGTGGTTGGGAGTCCGCCTGCGATGCAGGGGACACGGGTTCGTGCCCCGGTCTGGGAAGATCCCACATGCCACAGAGCGGCTGGGCCCGTGAGCCATGGCCGCTGGGCCTGTGCGTCCAGGGCCTGTGCGTCCGGAGCCTGTGCTCCGCAACGGGAGACGCCACAACAGTGAGAGGCCCGCGTACCGCAAAAAAAAAAAAAAAAAAAAAAAAGGCTCCTAAAACTTCATTAGTTTAGAGACACTAATTTCACATTTTAGTAGTTTAAATATGAACAAGACAGTGCAGGGACATTCAAGTTAAGCTTTGGTAGTGACTGGACAGAGGCAAGAATCAGACTATATATCTCTCAAAGGATTATACGAACGTTTTGCAGGGCAAATTATACCATCCGACTAGTACTTTAATTGCATGTTAGAAAGAAGCTAGCTTTCCCACTATCTAGATACACATTCAAGGCTTTGCCAAGTAAGAAGAATAAACATGATAGAGGGGGTTCCCTTTTTTAGCAGTGAGGACAAGTCAGTGCTTTAAGACTCTCCTCTAACAGTTTAAGAAGCATCAATTACACACTTCTAATGTGCTAACTCTGCTAACTCCACACAAAAATCTGGAGTCTTTTTGCCATATCGACTTGAAAGATGCTTTATTATCCCAGGGTTTCTCAAATTTGGAACTATGAATGAGGAGAAGTGTCCAAGATGTTACTAACACTAGAGCAAACGGGGCTCCAAATACGTATATGTCTATGGCGGTAACAGCCTTTTGTAAAGCTTCGTCCCTCTGCCGGTTCCCTTTTCCCCGTCATGACTAGACTAAAAGCTGCTTGAGAACAGAGCTTGTATCTCCTTTGACTTTTTATTTCTACCACCTAGCACTGCATTAACATGGCAAAGAAGATGAGCACAATAAATGTTGAATGAAGTGAATAAGTTTCTCCCCTATCATATATTCTTAAATCTTTTTCCTTTCCGTTTATTAGTTTGGTTTTTCTTTGGTCTGAGACAGAGAAGTTGGGATTGTGGAGAAAAACAAAAAGTAGGGAGAGCTCTCCTAACTCCATTTTATATAAGATGAGACTTAAAATTATAGTGAACCCATTGTCATGTTCAAAATGATCTGTAATTTGGGAAGCCTATTTCTCAAAAAGAAATGACCCTGCTAAATGCAAAGTACAGCGGCTCAGGTAAGAAAGGAGTTTCTCACTTTGCAATGCTCTGCTGGATTTATAATTCTTGACCTTGATATACCGTTTAGGACAGAGCTCTAGAAAGCAGTCTCCAACACAGGATGTTGCAAAGACACCGCGGTGGAATCGAAAAGTCAAGGGACTTTAGTTCTGAATGACACCTGGCAGGTAAACCAGAATAACTCCCTGGAAGGCACTCACTTACCTAAATTAGCATAGTAGTAAGGGAAATCTCCCAGATAAGATGAATACTGTGGTAGGACGAACAATCCTCCAGGATGTTTGTTCCATATTAAACTGTTACGGGATATGTGCTTGAATATTCTGTCCTGAATAATCTAGAAAATGAAAACATGGCACATGGTGAGAGGAGACTGACGGTATCAGACGAGGAACACAGTCAATCCAAATTGGAGGGCTGATGGCACTCAAAGTAGTGAGTCTCCTCCCCCACCCCCAACCTGATTCTTCACTGAAACAACCTGATTCTTCACTGATTCTCTGACTCAGAGTGACAGAGCAATGGAAAAGAGTGAGAGAGAGAGAGAGAGAGAGAGAGAAACAGATGAATAATGGCTAATCCAATTTCCTAATTAAACTGCAGTTTCACCATAAATTCTATCTTGTCTTTCTATAATAATAAGTCCACGCTCATGTCAAATTAGAGTGTGTAGAAGAGTTTCCCTGATGGCTGAGATCTAGCAGTGCTTCCAGATCCACATCAGGAAGATCTGTTCTCAGGGCACAGAGATGTCCATATAGAGACTGAGCTGGGAGCATATGGAATCCCGAAGCAGCTGAGGTTTTGATCTGTTCCTTTAATTCAGGAGGCAGATTTATTTGCTTGGCATATCTCATTGTCCTTTCAAATTCAAGTATAGGACTTTGGGGGTACTAGTTAGCTGAAGTTTTTCTACTTTTCATCTCAAAAAGTAGTGACTTAACAATTGCTCAAAACATCCTACATAACAGGACAAGAACCATGGCATATGGAGAATAATGATAGTCAAGCTAGTTCATTAGTTTCTTTGGACTTGAAGACCTTGCAGATCATTAAATTCTACATTTAGAGTCAAACATTCTCCCATCCCGAATCATTTGTCAGATTAATGTGATTAGTCCACTTCACAGTGGACTTTCAAACTCTTGTAATTATACCATCCACTCATTAAGATATGATTTGGCAAATAATTAACTTGATACAGAATTTCATGTTTTCAGCAATTTTTTTGTACTTAAAAAAAAAAAAAAGCCTGGCATATATCTTTAGAGATTTAAGACCTAAACCATCATTTTCCAGGTCCCCATTTAATGCAATGTGATTTTAAGTACAGACCATTTTAAATGGAGTTGTATTATTTGCTAAGGTTATTACCACCCTCATCTCATCCCACATGGTGACTACACAAGTAATAAAATCAGCTGCATTTATCTTTGCAAACCTGATTGTGTTTATATTTCTTAATGAGAGAGAAGGAAGCAAGGAGGAAATTTAGAAGAACTCAAATATCTTAGTTCAATGATTTCTGCATTTTCTCTTTTCCCCAGATCAAAACTGCTCATTTTATATGGATTGGCAGAGGTTTCTAATTTGGGGAAGATTTTAGGAACCTTGCTCAAGCGTTAATGTTTGCTCTTTGTGGTTCAACAGAGATGTGTTAAAATGCTATTGTCTACGCATTAATTGTAAGAAAATTGTCATGGTTGTGCAGGGTTTTTACATGGCTAACAATTTCACTTTGTACACCATTTTTTCCAGTTTTTAATTATTTGTACCTTCCAATTCTACTGTCTACTTATTTTCCTTTATAGGTTTCCATTTAGATCCTCCCTTTTTTTGCTTTCCAAATTCATGTCCCTTCTAGCATGTGGCTGCTTAAATAAGTTTGGATATCAAGACACAGAAAACATTGACAATGGATGGTGTCATAAATCCGACTTACATACAAGTGACATGGAAGTCAGAGATGTCACAAATTAGGTCCCTATTCACTTTGGGTCTCTGGGTGGTGTGATTCTCAATGTCATTGACTCTTTTTGATTCAGTATCACAACACTGTCATCTTTTTGAAGTCAAGGATATAAGTTGTAGTATTCCTCGGAAGTTTCAAAAAGCATTTTATATTCTCTTCAAACAGGGTGATATCAGCAAAGGTATAAGAGCAATAGCAAATGTGGAATTTAACTCAGGTCAAGCAATTTGCCACCTTTATGACTAACTAGCCTCATATGTAATAAGCAGTAACATATCACATTAATTATAACAACGTTTCAGAATCTCTTAGGAAAAGTTGCCTAAATCTTCATATTTAAGACTTGAGTTTTTAAAAAAATCTCATTCCTGTGTTCATTTTCTAGGCATGGATTTTTCCATTTCTATTTTTACACAGCTATACTATCACAGATATTATACATTATAGATCTTTCCATATTATTCATAGCATTCATGGTTTACTTATCCTAAATGTCCAACAATAGTGCAATTATTTCCATGCAAAGCAATGAACATATTTATGAGTTAAAACTTTCCACATTTAGGACTGATGCTTTAGCATTTTGTCAAAGGGTATGAACACTTTAAAGGCTGTTCATACGTATTACCAAATGTCTTTCTGAAATGTTGATATCAACTTGCCTTACCAAAAGACTGACAGAGTATGGATCTCATTTCACCAAATAGAAAGGTCATTCTGTCCCTCTCCTAATGTCCAATTCTCCCTATTGCTACACTGGACAGCTCCCAGGAGCCTTTCAGGGCCCTTAGTACTCACTCGCAAACGCTGTGAATGAAGACATCATATTGAAACGTGGGACACTATAAAGAAAATCAACACATACATACACGCAAACACAGGCACAAAAAGTTTACACAAAATTTTTTTCCTTACAGCCCCAAATGGCACCCTCAATAAGGATGATATTTCTTATTAACATGAATTCAAAGGGAAGAATGACAGGCTCCTTATTTTTCATTTTTATGTGCCATCTATTTTTAAAATAATGGACAGTTGATTATAGGTTCCAGTCATTCTAGGTGGCCTTGACTCTGTCTCTTTTTTTTTTTTTTTTTTTGCAGTACGCGGGCCTCTCACTGACGTGGTCTCTCCCGTTGCGGAGCACAGGCTCCGGACGCGCAGGCTCAGCGGCCATGGCTCACGGGCCCAGCCGCTCCGCGGCATGTGGGATCTTCCCGGACCGGGGCACGAACCCGTGTCCCCTGCATCGGCAGGCGGACTCTCAACCACTGCGCCACCAGGGAAGCCCTGACTCTGTCTTTTGACCAATACAATGTTGCCTAATACACGCAGTGCCACCATATGCCACCTCATTCCAAACCAAAGCAAAATCTCCTATTTCTATTCTCTCACTGATTTTAAACTTTCCTTATACAACGGCATCAATAATACTATGGTCTGAATGTGCATATGGTTAGATAAGTGAAGAGAGAAACAGACAACCCTTCATAAAACAGCACTTAAAATTGTGTTTCCAAGCTACTGTGAGCTGTCTTCATATGTCATTACCATTGTATGCCATTTTCTTTTGCTCAGCCTGATTCTGACTGAGCTCCTAAGGTTCAATCCTTAGTGCCAGGTTACTGTTGTGCAGTATTCTGACAAATAATGGAATCCAAGAACACTGTCTTTGCAGTATTTGATCATTGTCTCTATCATTACTTCTCAATTTGCACCAAAAAATGAGCTCCAAAGAGCCTAGCTCTTATTAAATAGCTCCTTAATTCCAAGGTGCAGAATTAGGAAGTTTCAAGCAGACTAGAAATACAAGGCAAATCCCAAGCAGGAGAGAGTGCAGCACAGCTGAATGTACTAACAACTTGACCCTGGCGTTGGAAAGAAAGATGAGGTGTCCTGTTTCCAACGGTATCTAAGCACTACCTACAGCTCTAAGGCTCATAATCACCAAAGAGCAAGTAATTCCCTTCCCGCGACTCACAATACAGCACGTAAGGAAGAAAGAGTCTCCGGGTAGAGCATCCCCGAACAAGGGATCTTCAAATGTACGTTGTCCAAGGGTAATGCTGCATTACCCTGACCATAGGCACTCCAGCAGGAACTGAAGGACATATTATCTCAAGTAGGAATTTTTGATTTGTGATAGTTAAATCGTTCTTATGAACATATTGGCTGTTTATCTGGGTATGTGGATGGCGTTTTCTGGTATTTTTCTCTGCTTTTCTGTTTACATTGGATCCTGGGGTAATCTAAGCTCTGGATTAAAAAGGGAAACTGGATGGTATCTCTCATGCAATTCAGCTGAGAGGTCAAATTGTTAAAATCCAATTTTGGAACTATATGAGGAGTTTTTGTCAGTTGCAATAAATTTGAATGAAGTATATGGTTAGAGTGTTCTAAAAACAACTGTGCTCCAGGCCGCATGGGTCCTTGGGGGCATAGGAGGGCGTTTGCCCTGCCCACTCGGGCCTGGGGAGCCTGATGAGCTCCCAGGCTGGTCCCCTGCCCTCCAAGTTCCCCCCTCCCCCCAGCCACATTGGTCCTGGGGGCATAGGAGGGAGGCCAGGGGAGATCAGGAGAGGTAGGTGGGAGGGGCTCTCTGGGACCGGAGGAGCAGGAGAGGAGAGGAGGGCATTTACCCCGCCCACTCAAGCCCAGGAAGCCTGCTGGGCTCCCAGGTGAGGTCCCCTGTCCTCTGAGACCAGGGTGGGGGGCACAGCTGGGTCCCTTCTGTTCCTTCAGCCTAAGCCCGACTTCCCACAGGCCCCAGGGCCTTTTCCAGCCCTGTGGGTCCTGAGCATTGGCCCCGCCCACCGCCCAAACCTCACCCTTGCTTAGGCCCCACCCTGCACAGCCAAGGCCTCCCCCGACTTTTTTTCCCCCTCTCCGCTTTTTCACTATTATGGCACTGCTGTACCTTCCGGTTGTTGATTCACCTATATTTTTATTTTCATATTCTTTCTAACATATCTGTTAGTTTCCTAGTCTAATTTTATTTTTTACTTTGTTATGTTCTCTCTCTTTTTTTTTTTTTTTTTTCCACCCCACATGGCTTGCGGGATCTTGGTTCGAAAGAAGGGGATTGGGCCGAAGCTCCTGCGGTGGGAGCTCTGAGTCCGAACCACTGGACTAACAGAGAACCTCAGACCCCAGGGAGTATTCATCGGACTGAGGTCTCACAGAGGTCCTCATCTCAGCACCAAGACCCAGCTCTACCCAATAGCCTACAAACTCCAGTGCTGGAATCCACAGGCCAAACAACCAATAAGACAGGAACACAATCCCACTCAAAAAATAAAGAGAGAGAGAGAGAGGGCAAAAAATTATGTCACAGATGAAGGAGCAAGGTAAAAACCTACAAGACC